AGTAGTGTGGTAAGTTTGAATTATTTATCTTCTGTAGTAAATCAAGTACCTAAACTTGATATAAAAATATTCTCAAAAAATTTCAGTGATTGATTTGGGGTCTTTGCAATGTACATAGAATAAGTAGCTTTGTGGATTGAGAAAAGTCCCAGGACCTCAAGTCAGTCAAGGGAAGGCTCATATCCCTTAAAGCTGATTTGTCACTGTTCTAACACTACTCTAGTGGCTTCCACTAATTTTACTGTTTTCAAATGACAATACTTTCCTCAATCTAGGTAGGGCTTTTTTTTGCTGTTGTTTTTAGTTAATGAAGAAATAGTTACATAGAAATTGGTGTGATTGGTCTAAAGGACATTTAGTAAGTTAATTATTGAAGTCAGGATTCAAATGCCTGTTAGTCTAGCACCATACCTCATACTTTTCTTATAATCATACATAAAAGAAAATAACTGCATTTGATTCACTACAATATATTTATTAAATAAAATCTGAGTCTTTTTTTTTTATTTTTCAAGACACAGTTTCTCTGTGAAACAGCTCTGTCTGTCCTGGAACTCACTCTGTAGACCAGGCTAGATTTAAGCTCACAAAGATCTTCCTGCCTCTGCCTCCAAAGCGCTGAGATTAAAGGCGTGTGTCACCACCAACCAGCCTGAGTCCTGTTTCTTGTGCTAAGACTGAAAAGCCAAATTAAAAAGAAATGGACAAATCCCTTCACTCTAGGGCCATTCTACTGAAACTGAGAGAGAATGCAGGGGTGAGATGAGGCAATCAAACAGGCCATGGAAATCAAAAGTGCCCCACATGAGCTACATGGCATGCTATGGTCTTACTCAAACACCCAATAAGTTTACAACATCTTTGAGATGTATTAAGTTTTGAGCTTCCTGAGATATTAATGTACTGTAGTTTTCCATTTTAAAACCAAGTTCCAAAGAAATCCAACACAGCATCTGTATCCATGGAAACAGAAAGGCTAATTCAGCAAGCTCTCCTCAATTCAATTTCACTTAACCATGTATACGTAATTTAAGATGGGCATCTTGATAATGAGTTAGTGTTAAACTGCTAATGAGCAAAAGTCATGATTTGAGGCTTTTTCTTTCTTACCCCCCATCATGTCTTTCATTCTACATGAGGGACTTTCTCTCTAATAGCATTCCGAAGTGTCCGATGTAGAAGCTATTTGTTATCAAATTAATTTTTAATCTGATCATGTACTTATCCCTTAATTTCTAGTGACTTTTTAACCATTCAACATTTTGTATAGTTTCAGTTTTGTAAAAGGTCTATATGTTTAATGTTGTTCTATGTTGATAAAAGCAAACATTTCCCCATCAATCAATTTTTCTTTATAGCTTTCTTTATTCTTTTGGTGATTATCATATGTAAACACCAGAATCAACATGAGTAAACTTATTGATGTCAGACATCATTATCTTACTGTCTTATGTTTATATCTTACTCAGATAATTGAAATATTATTTTACTCAGCTCACAAATTATGTGCAATTGACAATCAGATGTTAAAAGCTGTGCAATTGCTTTGAACTCAAACCTTTAAGTGACTTAATGCAGCATGTGCCTTTTAGACTCAGTAAGCAGATCATAATGGAATAAGGAGGTTGAGCCCTTTGCAGCATTAAATTCTCTCTTAAGTAGCTCTTTAGCTTATGTAGATTTAACATGACAGGTTCAGACATTCTAAATATAAGGACTAATTCCTATACAAGATTAAAATAAATAACCTTCTAAAAACAGTGCATTGGCCCAAACTCTTGAGCTTTGACAGGGTAGCAGTCTATATCTTTTGTGAGATATTTGGAACAAAGGACTATCTGAAGTTAAAAGCATGAAAAGCAGGATTTCTGGAGCCAAGTGACTTAACCCTTGGTACTTAAAATTTCCATCTGCATGCTGCCTGGACATGTTTGGGCATTGGTCTGTGTACTTTGAATTGTGCCATTGACCTCAGCACTTTTCCTCTTAGGTCTTTTAACCACATCAGCTAGTTAATGTCCTTATATGCATGATATTATATTTCTTAAATATATTTGAAGAGCAAACCTAAATAGATAAAAATAGACATCTGTAAAGCTGTGAGGCTGTAGAGATTATGGATAAATTCAGTTACTAACAAGTGTGGAAGCTAAAATACTTAAAGCCTTACCATCTCTGGTAATCAGATTTATTTATAGATTCACAGTGTTCTTGACCCTTTAATAAGATAATCCAGTAAAATAACATCCCATTCTATGTTAGACACACAAATGTGGGTATTGTCTAGCCATGCATTAATTCTAAAATCTTGGGGACCCAGAAGCTAATTTTCATTTAGAATAAATGAGTATGCACATCTGTACATTTCATATTTCTGAGAATTTAGAGTAGAATTCACTCCAATTTTATTAAATAGATATTGATACAAATAAACTATATACAGTTTGGGATATGAGCAATGTAAATTTGGGCTTGTTAAATACAAAAACTCTTTGCTTATCCTTCTGATCCAATAAATTTATGGGTATATATTACAATTAATATATATATGCAACAAAGCACTTATAAGATTAACATTACAATACAGAGTCAGTATAAGTATTTAATATATGTTAAGTAATGATAAGTTAGATTGTGCCC